AAGACAAAAATTACTGAACACAAACATTGTTCTCTAGTTCATATATTTGCTTTTTACAGAGGCAGGGTTAGTTATTCTAAAAATAATTTACATATATTCTAGGATTGAGCAAATAAGTATATATATTGTGAACAATAGAGGAAAAAGGAAAAAGGATCAGAGGTTTGAAATGGGCTGTACGGTAGAGTAGGAAATGGTGCAAAAGCCATTGGACAGCAGAGGTCTATGACCTACCCAAAGATCCACAAAACCCTGCTCTGGAACCTTTAGCTTCAATGACTCAAAAGAGTAACATGACAGGAGAAAGCTGTTCCAGGAGAACAGGGACTGAGGGAAGGTAGTTATGTAGTTTTTTCTTTTTTAAGGGCTTGATTCTGGGTCACAGTACTGGTTGGACCTCTGAAATTTTCCTCCCCTTGGCATACCCCCTTTATAAAGATAGCAGGACCACAGCTAAGGAACACCAAACCTTGTTCTTTGCAGGAGGTTGCAAAGTAAGGACACTCCTAAAGGAAGAGCAACAACAGGAATAGGAAGAGACACAGTCAAATGGCAGTTGTCATCATATAATACTCAGGGATGGGAGCAACTGTCCTTCTAGTATGCATGCCTTCCAATTTCTGGCAGGGTTAGTTATTCTACTGGGGAGAAATATAACACTGTCCAAACTGGCATAGCTTTGAGGTCTGGCCAAACGACTGTGTCTCAGACAAAGATTTGGGTTCCAGGGAATGCAAATGAGAGACAGAGGTATGGGATCACTAGCTATTTCACTTGGGCCATGTCAATGACAATCCAAATTATTTACTTTGCCTCCCTCCCTGCCCTTTCTTCTATGAAATCAAATGGTCAGGGATAAGATTTGAACTGATTTTTCTTTCAGAACTTCCCAGGTAGGATGCTTGAGAATGGGCCATTCCTATATTAAACTACATGTCATCTTACTGCTAATAGTAACTATACTTCAAGGGATGCATCTTTATTAGTAGATACTCATCCCCAGGAATCTAATGATGTTCAGACAATTGGAAGAAAAAGCAGATGTGGCCTATGACCTATCTGCTCATACAATAAAAATGGTATATTATTAATTTGAAGCAAAATAAAGGATTATTTGTCAAGAACCTCCCTATTTATACAGGTCAAACTAGGAAACTGGACTTGGACATGCCTTTTATTCAGGATGACTGGGTATTCAGAGGGTGATCTGGATTCTCTTGCAACTCTCGGCACTTGCTCAGGGCTAAAGGGAATCTTGACTTTACATGGCATTCTTTTGCATCTAGCCTATACTTCAAAGAATTTTGAGCATATGATTTATAGCCTATCTTTAAAATCAGGTCTTATGAAGATAAAAAGGATGAGCTCTTAACCACTTCACAATTTCAGAGCAGAATAGAACCCTCCTCAGATACTATACCCAAATGTGGACATTTCCCAAATATGTTAAAAAGTCATTGTTGTTGACAATAAGCGATTCAAAAGAATAGTGTTACCAAGACAATAGGATATAACGGATACCCATGCCCTGGTCAACAGGTACATGAAGGAGCTAAATGTGAAAGTATTTACTAGAGTAGACATATGGACAGAGAAAAACCTAATGAACACCTCCCTGACTGTTCAGGGAGTACTTCAAATTTTTCATTTCCGGAGAGACTAGCATATTTTGAAAAGACTGAAGCATGATGATGATTATTGGCCAAAGTCTTGGGAAGTACCAGGGCCATTCATTTCTCAGAGATATCTGCACTACTTAGAATGCAACGAGTTTTGAATCTTTCTCTCATGAAGATATGCCACATTACGCAACTCTCATGGCTCACGAGCGTAGCCACAACTTGAGAATGAAGCATGACCATGTGGCCTGCAAATGTCATGGCCAGACATTTTATACATAAACTTATTACTGTAAATATGGGCCTCAGCAACTGCATTTTTTAGGTTTATGTAACAATTTCCACTACTTCCACCAGCTGTTACATAAGCACAGAAGGGACTGCCTATTTCATAAATCTTAGTTCCAAAGTTCCTTTGGAAACTCATATAGTGGGAATAAAAGAGTGGAAAAAGAAGAAGAATGTGATTATGGCAGTGTCCTTGATTGTCAAAAGAATCACTGTTGTCTGCCCTCATGCTGGCTGAAGGGTTCAGTTTGTACATTTGGATCCTGCTGCAAGAACTACTGACTTCTAAAGGCAACTACACCTTGCGGCTTCAGAGCTCCAAGAATACTGTAATGGTACCTCCATTACAGACAAATTCCTACAAGCAAGGTGCAGACATAGTGCAGATAAATACCTACAAGCAAGATAGCGCCCCTGGCAAATAACAAGGTTATTGTTATCAGGGCTGGTGGCAAAGCCTAGAGAATCAGTGTGTTAAAAATCTCTGGAAAGGGCTCATGAAAGTATTATCACATGAATACCAAGAGAGACAGGACAGGTCTAGAAACTGTGGCAGTAAATCTAAAGGGATTTTTAAGGTCCTCAGCAAGTGTGATATAAAATGTGGTAGGCTGCTATGTGAAAACATCTAAAAGTTCCCATACATTGAAAAACATCAAACATTCAGTTCCTCATGCAAGTCACATGGTGTTGGAGTGCAGAGATGTGTTTTTTTTAAGCCACAGACAGGGCTAATGAGAAGTTGTTTTAGGATGGTAGCCTAGGTGGTCCACAGTGTTGGAGACCAGGTGTAAGCTGACAAGGTCTTTGCACCTGAAGGGGCTAGCAAGGCTGGGACCCTTACCCACACAGTTTTCCCAGACTTGTTTGGATGGAGGTTATCAGTAGAATGAGAGCAACCTCTGTAGAATGAGAACAGCCTTTCATGGCTTACCAAGAAGTCTGTAACTATTTACTGAGATTTGCTGTACCGAGAATTTGTCCTTCTGCTCTGTCCCTCCCTTAGAGATTAAGAGGAACAAAGAATACATTCCTCTTGACAGACCTCCTATTCAGTGTCTTGTGTATAAACGGCATTGTGTGGTTAATAAACTTGCTGCAGTTCCTCGATTGAGCTGCAGTCCTCCTGATCCCGCTTTCCTGTCTTTCTTTCTTTTCTCAATTCCCACCTCCCTACCTCAGCCCAGCTCAACCTGTCAGGCTGGCCCTGACACCACAGATCTGTATAAATCAAACCTGCTAAGATACCACTATATTTCACTATGACTGCAACCTGACTTCGTGTCATGGGAGGGGTATTTGCAACAATTTTAAGAACTGCCACTGTGTCTGTCTAAGCGCCTTATGAATTCAAGGGTTATGGGGTACAGTTTAAATAGTGGCCCAGGTTCATGTGTCCCCTCTGACTCTCAGTATGACAAAATACTGATCAGCCTAACCTGGGTCTTTCTTAGCCTTTTATTACTTCTCATTTCCACTATTCTTTTGTTTGCCTACATCCATAGAAGATTTAAGACCAGTGTCAATGCAAAAGATTCATCTTGCAGAAGCAAAATGAACAAATCTGACAAATATTTGGTAATTGCCATCTTTCTGATAATTAATCCAAATATGAAGTGATATTAAAAGGATGTTTTAAGGAATTGACTCCTTAGTTCTGGTGTCCCTCAAGGTCTATGGAGATGGGAATACTTTCTTGCTTCCATCTGTCTTTCTATATCCCAAAAGCTTGTTAGTTTTTAAATTAAAAAAAGGTAAAGTAGCTCCCTGGATGAGGCAGTCTTTCTTGTTCTGTGCTACCCAGAAATCAGCTCTCCAGAGCTTTGGGGCAATGAGAAGACTCAAGATGTAATGTTGACAGAACAAGGACATGTTATCCTCCATAGTAAGGCTGAAACTCATGACCTAAAATCTAAAGAGCTATTATTGAGCTCCCTAAAATTTCTATGGAGAGCTCCTTTGGAAAACTCTCTGGAACTTCCTTTTCAGAGTATCCTATCAAATCCCCCATGGTAACCTCCCGTGTCGATTTTCTTTAATCTTAAGGATTTTGCATTGGACAGACCAAGGAATTTATCAGGTGAGAATCATATGATTATGAGTTCCAAATATTTTATCATTCCAGTCAGTTTTGTCCACCTGGCTTTCCCCTTTGTTTTGGCATCATAGAACAAGCCTCAGATTGGACTTGTTCATAACCTAACTAGAAAGATCAAACATTACTTGTTATGTGATTCAAGAAGAAACAGATTAGATATTCCAACCCATAAATGAGGCTCTAGTCTAGGAATCTTTTTGCCCCCCAAAAGGTTCAAATTCTACTTACTAGTCATTCATTCATTTATTCATTTATTCTATAAACATATTTAGCTCTAACTGTTAAGTTGAACCATGTAAAATTGATATTAGACCATTTTCACCTACAAAAATGGCAACTTCAAATGGTTAAACCTAATTCAATTTTCAGCACTATTAAACCTTCTTAGGACTTCTGCTTGTAAAGGACATTTTAGAGTTTTTGATTCCTAGAGTTTTCTCTAGTCATGTTTTCTCTTAAATCTTATTATTCCCTGTAACTTCAAAAGACTGGCCCTAATTTTTTAGAGTAGGATGGTCCCTGTCAAGACTTAGAATGGCACTGAACATATGAGACTAGACTATGGTGCATCTGAGTATCTCACTGTCACTTTTTTGATAGTTGCTGTCCTTGCTTATTCTGTTTCCAAACCTCTTCAAAGAACAGAAACTTTCTTTGTCCAACCTCAGAGGCAGACATAGCAATGACAGCTGAGAAAACTGTTGCATGCCACCCTACTTCACTTGAAACCATGGAATAGAGAACCTGGAAGTGGCATGTATAAATAATAAACTATAATTAATTTTTCTAAGAAAAGACTTAGACAAGTCTAATATTCACCAAGGTAATAAGTCCTTCTCTTAGATGAAAAGTGGCTTCATCTCCTTGAACAAAGACTTTAAGAATCACTAGTAAATCTGAAAATAATAAAAAGATCCTGCCCAATTCACCTAGAATGGCTACTAAACCATGGCACTATATTCCCTTTAATTTCCAAAAGACTAAAGATGTTCCCCAGCACTTTTCCCAATCCTTTAGTGTGGAATAACTGCAGTTCCTGTATCCCAGTACTAGTTTCAAAGAGTAGTAGAGGTGCTGGTAGCAAAAGCAAGGGTAGAGTCCAATGGATCTAGGCCCCTGCTATAGAATCTCTTCTGTGAGGATAATAATGGTGTCTGGGTGTCTGCATCACGCCGAGTTTCTTGCTTTAGTTGAAAGAACTTGTACTGTGTCCATCCATATACTCCACAGTTGAGCAGACCCTGGGATGATGCTGTTAGAGCCTGGAGGAGATGAAGGGGTGATGGAGCCCATCCTTCAGGTTTTCAGAGATCCAGGGAATAGTCCCCATCCCCCTTATTTATAAAGAATTGTTATATTTCTTCTAACCCATACCTCAAGATCTGGCATCAGTTTTTAATATTTTTCTAGCTCTCCTGAACTCACTCTTTACACTGTACCTTGTCATGAATGATTGAAAGAGAGTTGGTCATATTTTTTAGTGTTTACATAAGGACAATGAAGTGATTTCAGTACCCCTCCTTAATGCCCCATTTCCCAGGTCAGGATTGAGAAAACTTCCCTATCAGCTTAGTCAGCTCCAAAAGTCTTCTTAAATTTGATAAAGGAAGAAGAAAGAGAATTGTCCCATTTCTTTATTACTGTCTCCCTATTCACCTAGAATAGCTCATTTATCCCATTCAATTCACTCTGAATGGGAGAGAATCATGTCATTATTAGTGCTTCATAAGAACATTTGTTTTTTTGTTACTCATCCCTTAAACATACATCAATAAAATGAAGTTGACCACACATAAATATGCTCTGAAATGCATGGGAGCACTTTCACAAAGTATCTACCACATCTGTGAGGAAAATTTCACATCCTTCATAACTAAATATATTTTCTCTTTTGCAATGTAGAAATACCCTGAGGGGAAAAATTTTTGCTTACAGAGGTATGGCAGTATAAGAGAATAGGAAAAGAGGGCATGAGAACATCGATGCTAGATGTTGAAGGTGTTACCTGAAGTATATAGAGGGCCATGTGAAGCTTGGTGTTCTGTGGCTCAATCAGTTTTATGATCATCAAAATGACAGCTATGAAAACACAAAGTATAAATCTTATCAGCACTGGCTACCTGAGCATAAAATTCTTCAGTATACATGCTTAAGCATTTTTAGAATGGAAGCTATAGACAGAATGAAGACCAGCAGTAAGATTAAGCAATTATGTAAACCACTGGGCCTTGGGTCTCCAATGTTTATTCCTCAGTGATTAAACTTTACAGATTATTAGTGCAGCAATGGTAGCAAGACATACTACAGGAAGACAGTCACACTTTTTAACATTTTCGAGTTTATCAAGCTCTTTCATAAACATTATCCAATCTGATCCTTGCTACAACTTTATGTAGCAGGATGGACAGGTATTAGATCTCTGAGTTCTGTCAGGACATTTCCTCTCATATCAGGTTGCATCACATGTCTAATTATCTTAACTTGCAAAACATAAGAAGAATTTAAGGAAGTTGGAAAAACTGGGAAATATGAGTGGGAACAACTTAAATTTTACAAGCTGGACAGGAATTTGCAGTAGTCCTTCTTGGTGAGACCTCTTTGCTTGATCAGAACCCCATAATGCCCTCTTCATTGCCCAGCTCCTTCCAGTAAGATACCCACCTGGGCCCCAGCAGCACAAGAAGGCCACTGGGTAGAAGCGTACTCGCTGCTCTACGATGTGAATCGCTGCCCACTGTTCACTTCCCAAAAAGCCAGTTGATTTCACAAACTTCTTATACAGAGTCTGGGCTTGGATGAGTAAGACCTAGACAGGGGTACAGCAGTGAATAGTTTGCCCAAGACTTAGTAACTTCCCAGGTCTATCCTCCTATAATTTTAGAAGGAACGTTCTCTTAGGATCTAATAGCAGGAAAAGCCCATTCCTCTGTCTTTACTATCTGAAACCAGGCTTTTTCTGAGAGAAAATTATCTTCAGAATGAACTTTTGCTTGGCTAGGGAAATAGACAAATATTAGCCAAACTTGTGGTTACCATGTTCAAAACACGAACCTTAACAATAACGCTCAGGATATTTTCTCACTGAGACTAATCATAATATGCATGAGAAATAAAATTACTAGTAAGATCTATGCCCTAGCCAGTTTGGCTCAGTGTATAGAGCATTGGCCTAGAGATCAAAGTTTCCTAGGTTCGGTTCTGGTCAAGGGCACATACCTTGGTTGCTGGCTCCTTCCCGGCTCAGGCCTGGTCAGGGTGTGTGCAGGAGGCAACCAATCAATTCTCTAACATCCAATATTTCTCTCTGTCTTTCCCTTTCTCTAAAAATCAATGGAAAAAATATCCTCAGGTGAGGATTAAAAAAAAAAATCTAACCAAACCCTCTTTAAAAACCCTTTATTAGAAGTTATGTTAGAAAGTATTCTATACTTAATATCCTTAAAATAAATATTTTAGCACTGTGACTGAGCTTAAATTCTCAACTGTAAGCAAAAAAAAGGGGGGGGGGTCTTTTCTTGCCCTTTAGCTAATTGAAAGAAATATAAATCAGTTCAGAAGTCCAACATGATTTTTGTGGGGAGTGAATTATGTAATAATCTTGGTAACAACTTTGACCAAATTTGAAACTTTTCCCTAATAATCCAGATCCATACTCTAAATTAACAACCAATTAACTAAAGGTTTGGCCATTTAAGTTTCTTTTTTTCCCACAGAAATAGGATTCAAAAGGAGGCTTGAACTTATTTGAGAATATTTATGGCTAGTAGAATCAGTTCATCATCTGTTGTTTAAAAAGAATCAGAATGTGCCCAGCTGGTTGAACGTTGACCTATGAACCAGGAGGTCATGGTTCGATTCCTGGTCAGGGCACATACCTGGGTTGTGGGTTCGATCCCCAGTGTGGGGCATGCAAGAGGCAGCCAATTAATGATTCTCTTTCATGTTTCTATCTCTCTTTCCCTCTCACATTCCTCTCTGAAATCAATACAAATATATTTTTAAAAAAGGAATCAGAATGATAATTCTGAATGCCCACTGAAGCCTGGGTTATTCTGAAGAAGCAAACAGAAATCCCCATGGTGCCAGGCTACCTGTCTCTCTTGTCAATCAGTTCTAAATATAAACCATTAAAGCCATTTTAATGTAAATTAGTCATTGTGCAATCTTTACAAACTTGCTGATTTGAGCTAAGTTATCTCCATAACTTGTATTTGAATTATCAAAGGAAATTCTCCACAATTATATTTGGTTCATGTGTACTACCTGTACTAGGAAACAAAACATATTTGGGGGATAAATTTGGTCTGCAGGTAGATAGTTTGTAATCCCTGAACTAACATATAAAGAGAGGAGAAAATGATACTGAAAAATAGATATGGAAAATCAGAAGGCATATTGCTTGCTTACTGATTTTGTACTAGGCAGTTATATATGAACTAGAGGCCCGATGCATGAAATTTGTGCAAGAGTAGGCCTTCCTTCCCCCGGCTGCTGGCACTAGCTTCCCTCTGACACCCAGGACCTAAGCTTTCCTCCAGCCATCAGCAGGCACCAGGAACCCTGGCTTCCCTCACAGCCTCAGTTCATCTGGAAGGACGTTCGGTCTAATTAGCATATTATGCTCTTATTATTATAGATAATGTATTGTCCCATAGCTGATTATTTTAATTGTACATAATTCTGATGATGTCAGGTGAGTATTTAATAACTGCCTGAGTCGCTTAGCACCTTAACCCAGTTAGACATATCATAATCACAAATTTATAGCCAATAAAGAATTGAGAAAAGAAAACTCTTTCATTATTTGGAAAATTAAACCAAAGCTCACCCCACACATTCCAAAGTATCTATATATACTAGTATAAAACTCTAATATGCAAATAGACTGAACAGCAGAACAACCAAACTGAACAACCAGTCGCTATGACATGCACTGACCACCAAGGGGCATGCGCGGAACATAGCAGGCATCAGCAGCAGACAGCAGAGTGTGAAATATCACGGGCATTGGCCATGGCAGGATGGTGCAGCAGGTGAGAGGTGGCGCCAGACCAAGGCAGGGCGCCAGTCACTGTCATTGGGGCGAGCCTCTGGTGGTTGCTAAAAATTCTTAGCTTCCATGCACCGCGATCCCACCCAGCACTAGCACCCACAGCTGGCGCCAGAGCTGCCACTTCCACCCACTGCCAGTGTCTGGCACCGGCCCCTATCTCTCGGCACCATAAGTGGGTGCGAGCGGCAGCTGCTGGCTCTGATCGCCCCTCAGGACTTCTCCACCTCCCCCTGCTCCTAAGGAGCAATCAGAGCTGGCAGCTGCCTCTCGCACCCGCTGCCAGCACCTGGCACCAGTCCCGATCACCCCTGAGGGCTTCTCCACCTCCCCCTGCTACTGAGGGGCAATCGGGCACAGCCACTGCTCACATCCACTGATGGCACCGCCTTGCTTGCACCTGCTGCTGGGGCCAGCCCCAATCGCTCTGCGCTGTCAGCATGTGGGAACAGCAGCAGCGGGAACGGGGCTGCTGGCAGACAGGGGGCTGGAGGTTGCAGCAGGAGGGGCTGGGTAGGGGCGCAGAGGATGGGCGGAACCTGCCCCTGTGCCCATGGCAGCCTCATGGCCCACAGTTCCTTTAAAGTTGCACAAATTCATGCACTGGGCCCCTAGTCCTATATAATAAAAGGCTAATATGCAAATTGACCGAACAGTGGAATAACCAGTCACTATGATGCACACTGACCACAAGGGGAGCACTGCTCACCCAGAAGCTGGGCTCATGGCTGGTGAGCGCAGCAGTGGTGGCGGGAGCCTCTCCCACCTCCATGGCAGCACTAAGGATGTCCAACTGATGGCTTAGGTAGGAGTGGGCCTAAGCCATCAGTTGGGCTCCCGGACTGCAAGAGGACGCAGGCCGGGCTGAAGGACCCCCCTCTCAACCCTCCCAACAAATTTTGTGCACTGGGCACTCTAGTCATTCTATATAAAGGATATACTTGACACATTGTAGTTTTCTGCTCTGATCCTCCATGGGGATCCACAAGAACATATATTACTTCTAGAATGAGGATAATTCCTACAGAATGAATACAGGTTCATTTTCCCACTCATCATTTGATCTTGGGAAGTCCAAAAGACTAAGGTAATAATTAAATTGTCAATATCTCCTAGCCACTTTGTTAAGTCTGGGACTATCAAAAGTGATTCTCCACCTCATCTTTTCCAGGCCTTGGGAGTACTACCCAATCCCTCCCTATCCCCACTTCTTTTCATAAAGGCAGATAAGGTGGCACCATACCACAATGGTGAAGAGGCTGAGTAGAAAGCTGGCCAGGAAAATGATGAGCCCATAAAAATAAAGTGTTCTACAGACTGATGTGTTGGCAGAAGGCAGGAGTTCAGCCATGGCTGATGGTGGTGAGTGCATCAGGATACACCTAGGAAGAGAATCAATGGACAAGAGCACTACTACAGATATAAAACTAGAGAGATACCTATTAGTGCAACAAAAGTTCATGAGTATAAAATTTTACTTATCATTTTGCTAACACTTTGTTTCTTCTCATAGACACATTATTTTCTAGTCACCTTGTTATGTTCTATGTATGTATTTACAGCCTTGACTGCACATTATTCTCATTATTCACATAGCTCATTTTAAATACAACACCTTAGCCAGAATGTATGTAGAAAGTCCTCTTCTATCTCCATTTATAGAACAGAGTATGTGTAGACGACCATGAAAATGATAGATTTGGTCCTTACTTACCTGTGGTTCTGGCTAAAGTTGCGGAAACATTCACTGGCATTGCCCAGACAGAATACAGGTATCATCAATAGTAGAGGTATTAGGCTAGGAGGAAAAAAACTTATTACCCTAATATTCAGACTGTTTTATGCCCTCTTCCATCTGCAAAATATTATCCTGTTCTTTTCCCTCTATCATCCCACCACTCTCCACTAATACATACACATTTAAATTCTCTAAGAAAAATCGTTCAAAAACCTTAAGTATACTGTCTTTTTCAATACCTGGGGAAGAGAAGTGAGGAATGCATTTTATACTTAGGGTAATGAACACTAACAGAGTTTCATAAAGAGTCTCTGGGAGTTGTGTGGTCTGATAAAATCCAAGTGGGTCAAAATGAAAGGAAAAATTTTACAAGGAGCTCTCTGCTTGCTCAGTCTGTTTCACTTTCCATGGTGACCAGAAATAAGTTCATTCTCATATGCCCTTTCCTGGGAGCTTTTCTAAAATAGACCTTTAAATAACCCAATTATTATCCAGAGGAAAAGATCCAGGAGTAAGAGTTACAAAATCTAAAACCAACTCTGTAATGACCACTTAAATGAAATCCAGACCCCTTCTGGGCTTAATAATTTTAAGAATCTCACCCAATGTTATAAAGGTAGATGAGATCTTGAAAGCCCCTATTACAACTCTTTAAGAGATGTAGAAAGGAATTAAAAGTCCAAAGACTTAAAGGGAAATACCTGACAGGCACTTAGAGTTGATGGCAGAATTGAGGCTAAAACCCAAATCTGTAACTTCAAACTGTTTGCCTATTTGAGAAAATGGAACCAAAGATCACATATTTGTTGCTTCCTACTCAGTAAGGCTCCAAGAGGACATAGGCATGACAGACTCAATAGATATAAAGGACATTGTTCTCCCATTTGCTCCCACCTAGACCCCAGAATAATGAGAGTCCACACCTTGCTAGGAAAGAAAGCAAAATATCTTACCTTGACGAAATGATGGCTATCTGACCAACTCGATAAGTATTATCTATAACCTATAAAAAGGATAAATGTGAGCAATGTCTTAGGATATTGCCAATCATGTTATAATAAATACCAGGTTATTATGTGTCACTTGACAGAATAAAAATTCCCAAGAGTCAGCTTGCTTCGTTAAGAAATATTTGCTATAAAATTCAGTGAAATAGTTCCTTAGCATAGGAGATAAGAGAATTTTATCTGTGTTACTATATTCTAAATAGTACAATAGTCACAAAGAGAACCTGTAGGAAGTAGCTTAATATAAGATTTGACTACCAGAACAAATAATCTTTAAAAAAAGGCAAATGTTAAATCACACAATGTTCCATCTTCTAATAACAGTTCAATCCTCTTCTTTTATATCCAGGGAGGTGTGGGATTTTTACTTCTTATGAATGGAGTGAAAGTCTATGTATAAGATGACCAGCAACCAAACCGGTTTGGCTCAGTGGATAGAGCATCGGCCTGCGGACTCAAGGGTCCCAGGTTCGATTCCGGTCAAGGGCATGTACCTTGGTTGCCGGTACATCCCCGGTGGGGGGTGTGCAGGAGGCAGCTGATCGATCTCTCTCATCGATGTTTCTTACTCTCTGTCCCTCTCCCTTTTTCTCTGTAAAAAATCAATAAAATATATTAAAAAAAGAAAAAAAGATGACCAGCAGACCCTAGCTGATTTGGCTCAGTGGATAGAGCGTTGGCCTGTGGGCTGAAGAGTCCCAGTTTCGATTCCAGTCAAGGGCATATACCTCGGGTGCAGGCTCCTCCCCAGCCCGGGCCCTGGTTGGGGCTAGTGCAGGAGGCAACTAATTGATGTATTTCTCTCACATCAATATTTCTCTGTCTTTCCCTCTCTCTTCCATTCTCTCTAAAAATCAATGGAAAAATAGCCTCGGGTGAGGATTTAAAAAAATTAATAAAGATAATAAAAAATAAATTTAAGAAAGATGACCAGCAGAAAGTGTAACAGGCCAGGGTTAGTATAATAAGGGCAAGGTCAAATAAACCCTTTGGATTATAAGCCCTTCAAGACTTGTTAGATTCTAGAAGAAAGAACATTTCAAAAATCTCCAGTTGTGTTAGACACTGTAAAACAAACTACAGAAGAATGGTCCCTACCCAGTAGGAATTTATGGTGAAAGATATTGAACATAACACCTTAAAGAGATAACAGAAGAGAAAACAAGTGTGGTTTTTTTTCTATTTTAAGGTAGAGACCATATGGGATGGCATTGTTAGGGATCAATTAATTAATAACCAGAGATGACTAACTGACTTGCCTTAAGAACTTTGAATCAAGAATAGCAAATAATTTAAGTTGGATAGAACACCTGACTGACGTTTAGGTAAAATGGGAAATAAGTAAAATTAGTCTTTGG